AAATAGGGACAAAAATAAACGTATATTTTCTCGGCCTATTCAAATATTCTACCAATCGACTGAAAGCAGACGACTGAGAAACAGACGCTCGCCCCCAAACCTTTACATCTATATTCTACGATAAGCTATGATTGGATCATAAAAACAAACCGCAAATGTTCTCGCTCATTCGTTGTTGGGCATTTCTTCATATTCAGCAAGGGATGAAACAACTGCCAATTTATATATATATATATATATATATATATATATATATATTATCTGCTATATATGGTATCTTCAAATGCATCATTGTGTCCACGATTCTGACACGTCCTGAACTTCGTCCTAAATATACATTCATTTCTATTTTTCTCTATCACATCACATAAAAAAATAAAAATAAAAAACGTACGTCGAAATTTGAACAAAATTGTGATACTCTCCAAAAATGAAAAAAAAATCCTTTTCCATCTGTTTTTTTATGTACCGTAGGACGTAGGCGATCATAGCTCTCCACAATTTCCTGTCTTTTGTAGCTCTTAATAAATGTTGTCTTTTTGTTATTTATTTTAAACCTTATTCTGTCAACCATCTACTCAAGCTCACTAAGTACATTATGCGTTGTTTTCCTCTGTCCCTCTTGCCTTCAATCTGTGCCTGTGAGTATCAGATTTTCCAAACCCTCTTTTGTCATTATGTGCCAGTGTAAATTATATGACAGTATAAACTGTCGTAAATGATATGAACTCGTGTGATTTTCTCTTTCCCGGGCTGCTGCTGCTGCTGCTGCTGCTGCTGCTGCTGCTGCTGCTGCTTCTTCTTCTTCTTCTTCTTCTTCTTCTTCTTCTTCTTCTTCTGCTTCTTCTTCTTCTTCTGTTTTCCTCTGTCCCTCTTGCCTTCAAAATGTTCTGTGAGTATCAGATTTTCCATTGTGTTCTCTCGAAACTTCAACTGTCTCTTCTTGATGTTAAGTATAAGTGTCTTTTTTTCCCCCTTTTCTCTAAAACTTTGTCGTTGCTCACAGCTTCGGAGTCTAGCAAACTGTCGACTTTGAGAAATTAGGGTTCGATTGAAAACACACACACACACACACACACACACACACATGAATATATATATACATGCACATGTATATCCTCCCATACAGGTATTCAAGCAGGAACTCATATACAGGCGCGTCCATGTGTTAATTAATGATTCTTGGGCACATTCAGTGTCAAAGAATGTTAATTTTCATTATTATTATTTCGTTACTTTAACTGTTAAGCGTCAACTGATAGTGATTATGTAACGTCCCCTTTTTGAAATGAGTGCTAAGTTTTCATTTTGTAATCCGCAAACTGCTGTATTCTAATTAAGATACTTTTAGTTATCAATTTTTTTTTCTCAAAACATCCTTAAATCTGTTGAAGACGAAGATAACGAGGGCAATTTCAAGGGATATAATTTATTATTTTTTTTATATCATGACGCTTCAGGACGCAGATTGGTTTAAATTATCTGTGAATTTCCATGTGTTCTTGGGAAAATGAATGCAGTAGTTTCCCGTTACCGTTTATTTTGAATCGAGAGTAGTTATTTCCCGATTCTTTTCTCATGTTTGGTCAGTTGCTCAGATTTTGGCAAGTGGATCGGGCCGATAACTTTCCAGCACCTGCCATAGTCATCTTTGAAAGAACTTAATCAATCATAAGTTCCCTTATGAATTTGGAAGAATGTGCTGCGCCAAAATTACAAGTGGGGATCAGCCTGTCTGTCATAATTAGCATTTTTGATTTCACCTGGAGTGGAACACTGGCCAATGGCGATAAACGTAAAACCATTTTACTCTGTTTAGTTAACGCTCATTCTCACTAATATCACAGTATATCTTATACCTTGTCCCTTCAGGGCATAAGCGATCACGGCTCTCCACAGATTCCATTTCTTTATTATCTTTGCTTTATTATCTGTGAATTGCCATGTCTCCTTGGTCAAGAGAGTGGTTTTCTGTTACTATTTCCACGGACATGACTTCAAACCAGTTCTTTCCTAGACCTCCCTAGGGAAGAGAGTCCTGTCCACTCTGTTATTTAACCTATACTTGGGAGGGAAGAGAAGTGATGGACTTCTCTCTTTCCCAAGAGTATATGTGCGAAAGCGAATGCAACAGCCAAGGCGGAAATTTGAACTTGGCTCGCCGATTTCTCATTCCAAACCGGGAACTGTTACATCAATAAATGTAGTTTTTATGTTATCTCTCCTGATCCCTGTTCTGTCCTCTATTTACACAAATTCGTTAAGTAGCTTATGCACTGTTTTCCTCTGCCCCTTCGGCTTGTCCTGTGGGTATCGAATTTTTCAAGCCCATTATCCTCATTATGTCCCCTTGGAATTTCAAGTGTCTCTTTCTAATGTTAAGCGTTTTGCGTTCGAAATAGTTGTAATTTTCTATGCCCTCGAAAATGACAGAAAACCGAACAATTATTTGGGGAAGTAGTGGATAGCGGCTCGGATTGAGGAATCGGAGAGCCGAGTTCGAATTTCAGTTGAATCCATTACATTCACATACATGTTAATAACTTTGGGAAATGTATGAATCTTCTACCCCCCCCAGCTATTGGCAAATAGCAGGACAGACTGGGTTCTATAGCCTTGGATGGCAACTGGTCTACCGCAGAAAGAAATGGCAACCTACTGCGGGAAAAAAAATCTGCCTTGTCAGTCTGACGAAAGATGCATGATCACTTAAGCGTGTATCACGGCATGGCACATTACTGACTGATGTAAATAAAACTCTGATAAATCTGAAGTTGGTTCTGTTGTTGATCGCAACAAATCTGATAATTTACCGTTTCTGTGGAAATCAATGATGTGTTTAAAATTAG